ATATTAATAATATAAAAACATGTCTGGCCGAATGGGAGAGCAACTTTCCCTAATTCGAACCAGACTTTTCTTCTCTCCTTTTCTCCTCCTTTCTCTCTCTCTTTCTTCCCTCTTTCTTCCTCTTTCTTCTTGGCTGTTATCAGACTAACAGAACTCAAAGGCAGGCCGAATTATAACAAAGTGTTCACTTATCTTAATAAGAATCTCAAATATGAATGCATTACTGTTAAAATGAGGAAACATGGCATGGTTTAATTATAAATGTCTGCAAAGTACCCAAATGAAGTTAAATTTTCCAACCAGGATACACTTACTTGTCCAAGAAGAGAAGCAATACAAGCACCAGTATGAACAAGAGGGCCTTCTTTGCCAAGGGCAAGGCCTCCTCCCACTGAACCAATGCTTCCAAATATCTGTAATGAAAAAATGCAAAAATTAGATTGATGAAAGTTAAAAGCAATAACAAATACAAAAGAGTGCAGAAAAAAAGTATCCACACCTTTCCGATCAAGGTTCTAAAAAGAAGGACACCATGTGTATCAATACCTGCACAGCTACCTGATTATCACTAATTTCTCAAAATAAAATACAATACTTAGAAATACTTTACCAATAAGCACAGCTTACCATTCAAATAACCCTTAATTTCAGGAATACCAGATCCTGCTGCTGCTGGGGCAAATTGTGTGACAATATATACAGAAGAAAAGACTAAAGCCAAGTTGATTAATATGTATACTATAAATCCTGCCAGGTATGAACTTTGTATAATAGAAAATGTTGCTGCAAACTTCCACCCAGCAAAGTTCTCCACAGCAAGATTGATGAACACAGCAGCTAATCCAGTGCCTGGAAGTAACCAATACCAGTTGGGATATGATTGAACAACCAGAAAAAGATCCAAGATAATAGCAGAAAAGAAATGTAACTATAAATTTAATCAACACAAATATTTGAACTTTTCCATCAGCAATTTAAATATTAGTTCAACAGCTTCACAACATACCTCACATATAACAAAGGTGCATGCTTAATTGTTCTGAGCAATTTAAATATTAAACATAGTTCAACAGCTTCACAGCATAGTTCAAAAACAGTCTCTGAAAAAATAACACTTGGGAAGATTCACTGATGCATGTGAAGATCTAAATTTCTTCAAAATTTATTAAAAAAACTCAATGATTTCCCCAACCCAATTGAGCCTCATCCTATGGAGAGAAAAAATAAAAACGAAAAATGCAGAAAAAGGAGAGAGGAAACTTTACAACTTTACCAAAGCCAAAGACTGCAGGCAGGGAATTAAGTTCTCTTCCTTTATTAAATTTCATAGAGAACATCTTGATGACTTAAGCCAAGATTCAAGAGGAACTAATTACATCATACAAAAATCCATTTTGGTAGTATAATCAGTAGTTCTCCATAATACTTTTGTCCTTTAAGAAAATAATACATTAAATACCACTGGGGTGACAATTTCAGACCCAACCCTCCCATTACGTAGCGAGTTGGAAATGGATTGAATCACCCATTGGATAGACATAAATGGGTTGGGAGGGGCCAAGTCAGGCTGTGGGTACCCATCGGATTAACCATATATGAATGATACAAGTTTAGGTTGCCTCGCCATTTTTTCATCAATTCCCATCGTCCCTTCATTTAAATGCAAATAACTCTTAATTGACTACTGTAATTAATTCTCAATCCATAATTAATGTATTTAACTTATGATTAATTGCTGGAAATAATTATTAACTCAAACTACTAATACCTAGCATTAACTCAACCTGTAATTAACAGTTGCAATTGATTATAAGTAGAGCAGGGTGGCAATGGTTGGGTTTGGCACAAATATGGTTCAACACATACCTGACCCAAATTAGCTTGAGTCCAACCTGGTCAAATTACTTAGCAGTTGAAACATTCAGTTTATAGAGCAATTGACAGGATTGACTGGTTTGACCAACAGGTCAAATATGCCAGACATGAGTCCAAACCTTGGATGGGCTGTACCCTGTGGAGCAATTGACAGGATTGAATTGGCCACCCATATCTGTTAGCCTCTGGAGAAGGATCATCGTGGATAAGTATGGGCTCACAAACCTTGGATGGGACTTGGGTCCTGGTCTACTCCCATGGGGCTGTACCCTGTGGAGCAATATTGTCTGCGTCCTTCCTGATTTCTTGAAGGGCATGATGCAAGGTTGGAGAAGGTAATCACATCATGTTCTGGCTTGATAAATGGTGTGGGAACCTTGCTTTGAGTGAGAGGCTCCTCTCTCTTTTTTATATTGCACAGGACAAGGATTCTTTGGGTGAAGACTGCTTTGATTCAGTAGATGGTGAGATAATTTGTGGCCCTACTTTTAGAAGAAATCGCAATCGTTGGGAAATTGATTCACTGACTGCGCTATTAAGTCTTATTCAAACTATCAACCCCAACCCTCAGTCTGATGTTGAAAGAATCTGATCTTGGGAATCTTGTAAGTTTTCATCTCAGTTCTTCTACAGCAACCTTGTGTCTAGAGAGGACAGAAATTTCCCTTGGGCTTTAATCTGAAATTACCACACAACCTCGAAAATAGCCTTCCTGGTTCAAACTGAAGACCTGGGTAAATGCCTAACTTCAGACTGGCTGCTCAGAAGGGAGATGCATCTTCCTAGTATCTTGTGGCCTTTGTGCAAAGAGGTCCCTGAATCCTCCAATCACCTCTTCATCCACTGCAGCTTTTCCCATCAGCTGTGAGAAATGGCTTGGTCTTGCGTTGGTGTTCGTTCTTGCCTACCTGAATCAGTCCTCCAGCTTCTGCAAGGGTGTACTCTCAAGGGTTCGAACACAAGGGACAAGCTGCTTTGGAGGATTTTTCCAGCTGCCATCTTGTGGGCTCTTTGGAAGGAAAGGAACTTCCGAATTGTTGACAATAAAAGTTCTGATGTAGCTTCACTTAAGAACAAAATTATAGGTTTTCTGTTCTTGCTTAGGACAAAGGACTTTCAATGGTGTCCAGCTTTTATCTTTTTTGCAAGTTGGACCATTCTTTTACTGATTCCTTGGGTCTTTTTGTATATTCCCAATGTACAAGCTCTCATTGCACATGGGCTGATGTATTTGGTTTTTCTATCTAATGCATTGAAAGGTCTGTGGTGTTCGCGAGGGGATTTCAATGTGAAATTATTTTCTGAAGAAACTAATAATTCCCAACAAACCATCACAACTAGCACAACAAAGTTTAATAGCTTTATTGCCAATTGTGAGTTAAAGGAAATCCCACTGTTACAAGCTAGATCTACTTGGTCTGACATACAAGAAACTCCCTTGTGGTTGAAGTTGGACAGATTTATCTTTAATGTTGATTGGGAAAACTATTGGGGAAACTTGGTATCTAGAGCTTTGCCTAAGGTAACCTCAGATCACTGTCCTATAAGAATAGGTGTGGAAGATTTTACCAGTGGACCTAGAACTTTTAGGTTTGAGAACATGTAGCTAACCCACCCAGACTTTGTGAATAAAGTGAAATTATGGTGGAATGAGGAATTGAAGGGGATAAAATGGAAAGGGGTAAGATTTCACAAGAAACTGCAAAGGCTAAGATCCAAAATAAAAGAATGGAATATGAATCACTTTGGAAGACTTGAGGAGAAAAAAATGGATCTAATCTCCAGGATAGAAGAGTTGGATGAAAGAGAAGCCCAAACTAGCATAGAGGAGGGTGAGAGAGATCTAAGGAGACAATTGAAGAAGGACTTATAAGAGGTTTTACTGAGAGAAGAAATAAGTTGGAGATAGAAATCGAGGCATAGGTGGATCAAGGAAGGTAATGGAAATACTAAGTTTTTTCATGATGTGGCAAATGGGAGGAAGAGAAAGAACTTTGTGTCTAAGTTAGAGGTAGGGGGAGGTATAATCAGGAATTTAGGAAGATAATTGTCAGGAAGTTTGTGGATCATTTTAAATCGATTTATAGAAGACCTTGGATAAGAATTGGAAATGGAAGGGGTAGATTGGCCAAGATTGGATGAAGATCAAGTAAGGTGGCTGGAAAGAAATTTTGAGAAAGAAGAGATTAGGAAGGCGGTGTTCTTAATGGATAAATCCAAAGATCTAGGCCCAGATGGTTTTACAATGGTCTTCTACCACGATTGTTGGGACGTGATAAAAAATGATCTTTGTGAGGTTTTTAATGAGTTTGCAGATAAGCATATAGTCAGCTAAGGCATTAATGGTACTTTCTTGGCTCTAATTCCAAAGAAATCTTATGCTATCCATCCTAAAACTTCAGGCCAATTAGTTTGGTAACTAGTATTTATAAAATCCTAGCCAAGGTCCTGCCTTTGAGGATTAAAGAAATCCTTCCCTTCATTATTAGTCAGGTCCAAGGGACATTCACCCAAGAATGACAGATAATTGATCAAATCCTGATTGCCAATGAAAAGTGTGGAGGAGATGAAGAGGTCTAAGCAAATAGGCTTTGTTTGTAAGCCCGATCTTCCAAAAGCCTATGACTTGGTGGACTAGCAGTTCCTAGTAGAGGTTTTGAGGAAGTATGGGTTCGGGGAAAGAAGGTGTAGTTGGATGTTTGGTTGTGTCAGCTCTTGTCACTATTCCACCCTAGTAAATGGGTGGTAAGGGATTTTTTTTTCCAATTAGAGGGGTATTAGACAAGGGGATCCACTTTCACCTTTTTTCTTTACCTCGATAGCTGATGTGTTCAGTCAAATTATCACTGGGATTAATAGGGATGAGTTACTGAGGGAGTTATGATGGGAGAGTTGTTGAGGGAGGAGACTAGACTTACGACTGTTGTGAACATAGAAGGGAAGCAACTTGAATATGGAGCTGATATAGTTTTTATTGCACAAGGGAGTAAGAAATCTGGTAGAAAAGATCTCTCTAAAACCCAATGTTATGAATGTAAAGGGTGTAGATGTATAGCTTCACACTGCAAGAAGAAGAATGTTTGCACTTATTGTAAACAGCAAGGTCATATCATCCCAGATTGCCCTATTCATCCCTCCAAGGGCACTGTAAAGAAGAATCAGCCATGAGCTTACCAAGCGACTGAAGGACAGACAAATGATGTCTTTGGTGTCAAAGGTGAATCTCCTGCTCCCATGAATGAGCAAAAGATACGACAATTGGAATCCTCTGCCATCTCATCTGCTTTTTCTAATATTGGCTTATTTGGTGAGTTCTCTGGTTATTGTTCCTCTTCCTCTCATGTTTGGATAATTGATTCTGGAGCTACCAAACATATGATTGGAGCCTGCCTTGAACCTTCAAGTAAATTTTATAAGACCCACCATAAACATATTGTGAGAAATTGAATATCATTGGGAGTAATGATTTGTGTCTGAAGCTCTCACCCTCAAATTCCTTTTCCCTTACCAAGACCTTCCTTGTTCCCAAACTAAGGGATGGTGCATAGGATGGGCCACTTGTTTGCACTGGAGCTTGAGAGATCTCAATTAGCACAATCCTCTACTTATTTTAGTTCTTCTTCATTGAGTCCTATTTTGGGTCAAAGAAATAACATTTGGGATTTATGGCATAAATGTTTGAGTCAGTCAAACTCTAAAAAACCTAATTTTTTGCTTGACTCTGGTTTCATTAGACATAAAATTCCCTCTGTGCAAACTTTCGGTACGTCTTGTGTTACTTGTTGTTTGAGTAAGAGTTGTACTTTGCTATTTCCTCATAGTTCTGAAACTAGTGATGTAAATCTAGGGTTTGTATGAGAAAGAAAGAAAGAAAGAAAGAGAGAAGAAGAAGAAGAAGAAGAAGAAGAAGAAGAAGAAGAAGAAGAGGAATGTGTCAAGCTAGCAAGCCTCAGTGACTCGTCCTAACATCTCTC